TTTTTTTTTTTTTTTTTCTTTTTTGTCCCCACCCTCGTTTCGCGGATGCGGTAACGTCCACGGTAAATTGTTTACATGCACGCTACAAAGATGTAGAGTAACATCTCAGCCTATTGGATTTTTTTTTTCTTCTTTTATATTTTATTTTATTTTATTTTATTTATTTTTTTTTTTTCATACGCACCTGAACTTCTAAGGCATGGTAAGCAAATATGAGGCCAAGCAGTATCACAGTAGACACAGAGATCAGGGTTTTCAGTGCTGTCGAGTAAAACGAGGCCTGCAACATAAAACGTCGTCCTCGTAAATCCCAGTTCTGCGATTCAGACGATACCTCGCCTTTATTCTCGTCTCTAAATTTATATTTTTATTTCGTCTCTGGAAAATTTGCTCGAAGGGGTTGTGATTTGTAAAAATTCTATTTTTTGGGGGGAGAAATTAACATTATCCTGGAAGAATTTTGAATTGATTTGTAAAAGTGCATCGAAAGCAATTAGTGGAAAATTTAATTTTCTTTTTGAAGAATGATAATTGTTTCTATTTCTTTTTTTTTGGACGAGAATTATTCAAATATATGTATCAAACTATTATTCAATTTATACAGATAAATTGGTATAAATTATACCAGTGAATTTGATTGATTAAACAATTTACATAGGAAAATTTTAATCGAAAGAAAATGCTTGATATTTAAAAGGAATTTTTTTCGCTTAATCGATTAATCGCTTTCGCGTTTCGTCAACGATTCGTAAAAATTTTACGCAAGAATAATATTTCAAAGGAGTAAAATCATCGTGTGATTCATATCGTCGATGAGATAGCGATCAAAGAGATAGCACCGATTTATATTCTCGACTTCTTTTAACGTTCCCTATAAATTTTTACTCTTCTCTACATATCTATCCTGCAAATAAAAATCAATTTAAAAATTTCGAGATTATTTATCAATATTTATCAATTAAAAATATAATTTATCGATATTAAATATTGAAATTTGGAACATCCATAAACAAAATAATTTTCTTCGAATATATTTTCCGCACGATTGTAATATTTCTATTTCGATCAATCGGCCCAAATTCCTTATCCTCTCCAATGAATAACTTTGAATGAAAGAATTTTTTCACGAGGAATTAATTACAATCCCTGTCGTTTTCCGTTCGAGTGGAAGAGTAAAAACAAAGGAAAATAAAATATTGAAACGTCTGCGTAAACTTACTTATTACTCGTAAAAAGTCAAACGCGAGCCTCTTTTTTAAAGGTGACGTTCAACTTTTCCGACTGCATTTTCCAGCCTCGTAAAAAGCGTCTGGCACACTGGAGGAGAAAAAAAAAATTCGTATCCACGGATCTCGTCTTTCACGAAATGTCCACGAGTGCCGTGTCTGGTGGTGGATAATATGAAAGGAGACATGCAAACTCAGCATACCAATTCCGCGAATAATTTGCTACTTGTTAGGAGGAGGAAATCATCGATTCAATTTGTCGAAGAAGAAAATTATATTTCGAGGCGAAAATTAAAGTTTATCGTATCCTTAAACGTGAACTTCGAATAATAATTATTTATTGAAATTTTTCGGTGTACGACATTTTAAATATTTTTTTTATCGCGTAACAATATTTATTCTTTAATTTGAAAAACAAATTAATACAAATTGCGTGAGGTGTGATAAACGCGTGTGAAGTTTTTAGTACCAAAATTGCGTTTGACAATTAAAATAAAATTTAAACAAATTTGCCCATTCATTATCGAAATTCTCGATTACACAAGTTGACCAATTTTTCTTCAAATAACGAGAATATTTTTCACATTTCGTATATTTAATCGGTCGAAACAAATATTTTTATGTCCCTTTTAATTCACAATATTTGTTTTAACTTCGCGTAATTGCGCAATTATTTAGAAGCGAGATGCTTCGATAATCGAATTTTATATTTTTTGTTATTTAATTTTTTTAAATTAAAGCAACATAAAATACATCTCATTATTATTTATTAATCATCTATCTTAATCTATACTCTCTATAGATATCTTTCTACATTACGTCTAAAATATTATCCATATATTATATTTTTAATTATTTAAATCGTATAAGTCTATTAATTGCACGTAATGATACTCTGTCAAGCTTCGTTGGAACTTTCCCTTTGATCTCACCGCTATTCAGCGATGCAAAGTGAGCCATTTGTAACCCACGATTGACAATGAAAATCCAAGGACGCGGAAAATCTTAATACGACGAGGATTGTTAAGTCTCGAATGAAGAACCCTCGAATCACTCGAAGCACTTCAACCCGAGTATTCTCTCTGTTAATTAAATCGAAAATGTCAAGTCGAACCGGGACTGATCTCTGTATTCGCCGAAAAAACTGGGAGACGCGATTTAACAGTTGGATAAAGCCACGTGGAATCGATATGGCGAGGAGCTAACAAGAAATAATAATGCGATGAAAAACAATAACGTTTCGGTTTATTCTTATGAATTCTGTAGATTAAATGATATTAGATTAATGTAGATTAATTAATATTCGTATCTTCTGAAACGAGAAACTGTTTTCTCGAGAAGTTAAGACGAGAAGGATTTGTTCGTGGTTAATGGGAAAATTGTCGAAAAGTATAAATGTATGAATAAATTATATTTTTTATAAAATTTATTCTCTTTATTTTTCTGTGCACAACAATTACGTAATAAGAGTTTGAAGAGGAATAAAATAAAAGTTGAAGCGATCGAAGTTTGTTAAACGTGATAAATAATCCAATAATTGAGAACGAAAGTGAACGAATATAGAACGAAGGTTAAGCTTTGTCTTTGAGCTTGTTTCGCTCTTGATCGGATAATTCTTTTAGCTTAACTTTTATTTAATGTTCAACATTTTCTCTTGTCAAGAAAACTTCACAATTAAATCAATATTATTAATGAAATTTTACAAATTACAAATCAACGATTCTAATAAATCTTTTTAAAATAATGATTTTATATTTTTATATTATAGTGATATTTCTTTACGAAAATTATACATATTTGTTCCCTTTTTTATTTTCAAATCGTACAATTTAAACGAAATTTCATATACCATCGAATCTATGCAAATTTTCCAAATAGAAGATATAAATGGTATGTAAATGACAGAGAAACGTATATGGTCGATAACGTACGATATTTCCTATACGCGGAAATTTCTCCGAATAATATTTCGATTTAGTGCTACGATTATAAATATAGATAGAGATTTTACTGCTACAAATACACAGATAAGAATGAGGAAGAAGAAACAAACGACGATTATATATGTAAAACTTTTAAACTGATTTTTAAAAGAATTCTCGAGAATTGGGAAAGTTAACGAGATGAAAAAAAAAATGGAAATTTATATGAATATATCAATTTAATCGGTTCAGGAAGCGTCGCTGTTCAGTGGCTAGATTCTGGTTTTGTAGCAGTGAATCTGTGGTTTCCATAATGGTAGGCAGTCGGTTAATTAGTTAGTTACGCGTAAGAGGAATATAAATTAGCCACAGAGGAGTGCGAAGCACGCGCTTCCGTAAATATGATTCCATTATACAAATTCAAGGGAGACGTCTCTCATTTACCTGATGATGTATTGATATTGAAATGAACGAAAAACAAGGCATTTAATTAATGAAGCATAATTAGAAGGAAGAATTGAGTGAAATTGTTATCTTCGTTATAATTTAATCTCGTTCATTTTTTACTTTGTATTTTTATTAATATAATATCGTCTATTGTTAGTAAGATCGTTATGAACAATACTTTTTCAGAAAAGAATATATCAAACATATAATTTAGTTGAAGAAAACCGATTAATCTTATTAAAATTAAGAAAACTTTGAACCGCTATAACTCCGAAGATAATGATTTCCGGTCAATCAGTAAAGAATCGTTAGAAGCGCTGAATCTTCCTCTTTAAAACATTTTTTTATTTATTCCGATACGACTTCCGGTTTCCGAGATATCGTCGTGTAAAGAAAATGTAATTTTTAATCATTTATCTTAAATCCGATTAACTCTATTAAAATTAGGAAAATTTTGAACCGCTATAACTTCGAAGATAATGATTTCCGATCAATCAGTAAAGAATCATTAGAAGCGCTGAATCTTCCCCTTTAAAACGTTTTTTTATTTATTTCGATACGACTTCCGGTTCTCGAGATATCATCGTGTAAAGAAAAAGGTAATTTTTAATCGTTTACTATCCCCGTCCTTGTCGCTTATTCGGACCTCTTACTCGCACTTCGTCTTACTGACCTATCCCAAAGTCCAGACAAGCGACAGACGCGATTCCTGGAAAAACGTAGTACGTATTTCCAAGAAAAAACGTAGGTCAGGGTTCATTCATAATATATCGCTGCGCTGTTTAAAAAACATTGGAAACTTTAAATCTTTATATCTCGGCAACCGATTGAGATATCGGGATAAATCAAAAACTGACTTCAATGGCATTGTATTCTCTATCTTCTGAGTGTATTTTGACGACAAAATTTGTAATTCTTTCTCACGATTTTTACGCGATAATATTCAAGTTTCATTATGGTTTTGCATAATTGCAATGATTTAAAATCGTATGGAGACATATATTTAATTATGAAACATTTTTAAAAATAGCAGATGTGTAAAATGTATTTCGTTCGCTGGTTTTTCACTGGTGAACGAGTTCGCCAATATCGTTGGAAAACCAAGAGAACGCCATTCCAATAAATTCGTCGGGTACGAATGGAGCCGAAGCCGTTATCACTATCGTCTATGGTTGTCGATCGAAATTGCTCGACGTTGGGCGAAGGGTCAATTGTCTTTAGGAGGTGATAATCCTCGATTGGATCATCGATATTGCACGTTCACGGCAAATCGTCTCGGCCCTGTCTCGCCTCGGTGAATAAAGCGTAACAAAAGTAAAAATGATATAACGAGCGTGTCTATTTTACAATGTAATTTTTCAATATTCTATTATTTCATATTTCTATATTTCTACATTCCATTCTATATTTTCCAATGTAATTTATTTCCTTAATGTTTAATACTTAATGCTTTTAATCGTATCTTTTATTCGACCGAATATTTAATCATTCCAAGGTTAAAACGTAAGAGATAAATGACTAAAATGATACGAATTTTATGATCAATGTTACACTAGATTGAGAAAACTCGAATCTCTTTATTTACATTCGAAACCAAATAATATTTCCGAATAAAATATTCTCGTGAAACGTTTCGTATTTGTTTTCGAACTGTTCCAACAAACGTATAAAAAACTGATAGAGAG